TTGGGATCCTCCATGGAGGGGAGGCGGAGAGCTCCATCAGGTCGGTGAACCACAGACATCTCGGCCAATGTGGTGCAACCAGGAGGATCTCTGCCCGTTCGTGTAGTGTCTTCCGGATCGTGGCTGGAAGAAGTGGTAAGGGAGGAAAGGCATAAAGCAGTTCCCTGGGCCGGGGCTGCGGAGGGCATCTGTCCCTTCTGCTGTCGGAGATGGGAACCTGGAAAAGAATCTTGGGAGTTGGGAGTTGGTTGGGGAACCAAACCTGTCCACGATCTCCCTGAACACTTCTAGGTCCAGTCGCCATTTGGCATGGTCTACATGCTCAATGAGTCCACCTGTTGATTGGTCACTCTGAATATGTGCTCCGCCCTGATGGAAGCAAGATTCAATTCCACCCAAGACCCCAATAACTGAGTGTCCTGCATGAGAGGCCTGGACCTTGTCCCCCCTGTCTATTGATGTGGGCCTTGGCAGCAATGTTGTCGTAAGAAGCAGGACATGCTGACCCGCTACTATGCTGCTGAAATGCTGTAGATCCAGATGTATGGCCCTGAGTTCCAGCCAGTTTATATTGTTTTTCAAATCCTCCTGGGACCACCGACCCTGAGCCCAATGCGACTGGAGATGTGCACCCCAGCCGAATAGGCTGGCGTCCATGGTGAGGGTGATTCTGGCTCATTCTCTGAATTCTGTGCCTTGTGACAGTGCTGGGGAAGGGAGTTCAATACCGGCTGCAGAACTTGGACCTTCTGGTTGGAAGCACTGATGTGTAGCCTCTGAAATGGAAGAAGAAGCCACTGCAGTTCCCAGGCATGAAGACGTGCCCATGGAACAATCTGTATGCAGGATACCATCTTCCCCAGGAGCTGCGATAACAAGGCTAATGTGACCACCCTGTCTCTTCAGATCCGATGCACGAGGGCCTGAATGGAGTCCCACTGGTCCTGTGATAGATAGACCGTACAATTGTTCATGTCATGTCTTTTCTGGAAATTGACAGAAAACCCGTGCTCCTGAAATGTTTTGATAGCAAGAGCGAGGTCTGACCGGGCGCTCTGGAAGGAGGAGGACTGTATTAATATATTGTCCAGATAACATTGAACCCTGATTAGAGATTGTCTCAGGTGGGTGGCCAGTACTGCCAGTACCTTTGTGAACACTCTAGGTACTGAAGAGAGGCCAAATGGTAAGGCCCTGTACTGGTAGTGCTGGTGGGCATAACTAAACCTGAGGAATTTGCGATGTCAGGGAAGAATAGGGATATGCAAATATGCCTCCCCTTGTCTGATGCTGGCCAAGATTGACTGTAGTGCCTGCATCTTGAACTTCCTATACATCAGATAGTAATTTAGACCTTTTTAAGTCTAAGATTGTCCTCCAGCCCCCCAAAGACTTGGGAACGACAAAAAGATTTGAGTAGAAACCTCGTTTTTCCTACCTATACTATTGATCCACCTTTTAAAGTCAACTGTCCACCACTTCAATATTTTCACTGTTAATTCAAAATTTGGGTGCTGTTTGTGTTGCCATTGGTTTATTATTCTTTATATTTAATCATCAACCATTTCTTTCTACTGTGTTCCTTGACTTTCATTACTAGAAGTAATATATTGTGTGCATTTTCAGGCTATCACCAACAACATAATGCAGCATTTAGGCTTATTTATCACCCCATAGTGCTTTGCGGTGCTCTTTGGATGGTTTACAATGTAAGCATTATATGTATATTGCCATAACCTTGGAACTTAAAGCATTGCTAGAGCTCGAAACATTGTTAGACACTCCACATACCCACTTTATGGTCTGTTTCTGTTGCTACCTTCTGGGAGGAGGTTTGAAAGTATTTATGGCAGAACTACTAGATTCTGTAACAACTTTTTTCCTTACGCCATCTGTCTTGTAAATTTGCAGAATTCTTTTTTTCTTTTTCTTTTTTTAAATATGTTTGATTATTTTTTTTAACATAATCACTTTAATATTTGGTAAACAGTGTGTTGTCTGGGTTTACATTTAAGAAACATTCACTAATAGTTGATTTCTATAATCTATAATCCACATAATTACTTGATTTCCTCTTTTTCCCATAATGTTCTCCTTTACCAACCTTAAGTTAATACAATTCTTATTATTTTAGTGAATGACAATTGAGTATAAAAGTTTTTTTTAATATTTCTACAGATAATTATCACATCGATATAATATTCTTCTTCTATCTAGTCATTCTGGTTGTCTCATCATAGATCCTATTTATAGTTCTTGTTTATGTTTGTTTTTCCCACAATGTTCAAAACATTCTTACTGGTTAAGATTTTCTCAAAGTTAATTACATTTAAATATTTAAGTCTATTTTTTCTCATATAAGCCAACCCAATATTTTTACCTTTCTTAAGGAATAAATAAGACTAAAAAAAGAAAAAAGAATAAGAATAAAAAAATAAAAAGATAGTATGCTACTTAAAATACCTATTTCCTATAAGCTAATACATATTTATTTCCAAAAAAAAATTTGTTCTTTTTTACCATAATATATATATATATATATATATATATATATATATATATATATATATATATATATATATATAATATATTTAATCTTTAAATATTCCATTTAATAAATCTAGTCCACTAGTCTTTTAACTCTTATTTAAAGCATTTTTAATCCATTGTAATTCTTAAAGTCAATCACTTTTAAATATCTAAAATATTTCCTTTATATAAGCCATTCCAACTTTTTTATATTACTCATATCAAGAAATAAGATAAAAAGAAATAATAAAAAGGAAGTACTATGTTACTTGAGGAGCTCTTCCTTCTTAAAATCACATTCATATCCAAAATTTTTCTATTTCTTTAACCATATTCGAACAGGTCCCATCGTCTATTTTTTTATTTTCACTTTAGCTTTTTTCTTTTGCCCAGTATCTTTCTTAATCTGCTGAATCAAAGAATCTTTCCATATTCTTGTAAGTGTTACTGTAGATATAAAAGGTAAGCCAAGTACAATATCTTTATGAGAGGCATTTGCCCATTCATTTTTGTTGAAAATGTTTTTTTTTCTTTTTTCCCCTGCTTCTCTTATCATTCTAGTGTTTTTCCTGGCATCTCTGCAGTCCATTTTATCCAATCTTTTTTTTTATCCTCAAATTTGTTTTGTACTGTTAAAGTATAAGTTGCCTTTTCCAATTCCAGTATTTTTTGTAAAAAAAAATTCCACTTGGGTTAAATCATACTTCTTAGGTTTCATCTTTAAGTCTCTATCCTCAAATTTGTATTCAGTTGTCTGTTTTATCTGTTTCTTCTCTGTTGATGTTTCCTGGAATTTTTTGTTGTAAAGTTAAATTGGAGATGAATTGGTTTATATTTTCAAAGTTATTTTTGATTTCTTTATGGTTTGAAATCATTGTTATTTGAATTAGTTGCAACATATCATATGTCTCCTCATGAAAAGTATTTATTTTTTTCTTGATAAGTTCTTTCTATAAATCTCTGATTTTCCATGATGACCAAGAATCCAAATTTTATTTTCTCTACAAATAGCTTTGGGGTCAGAGTTAAATAGATACTTGTAATCCAGAAAGTTCAAAAAAGGTTTTTTTTTTTCCCTAAAGTTTGTAAGTCTCACTTTGTGTGCAGCCCAGATTGTTTTCCTTTTTTATCACAGCTGTTCTCTATTGTTAGAGCTTTGAAAGTCACAAGTAGAAATTAGTTTTTTCCATATTTTGCCAAGTCCTGCATGAAAGCCATAGCTGCCATAGCCATTATCCACCACTAGAGGTCAGCACTGGTTTATTTTTCAAATTTTCAAAATGAACAAATTGCCTTTAAAATGAGAATCTTAACCATTCAGTAATTTCAAACTTATCCAAATTTAGGTTTTATAGTCATTTCATTTCAATATGTTTTTGTCCATAAAAGGTTTAATTCATCGCTTCTGTTAATAAAAGAGTGGGGCAAAAATCCCCCTCCTTCACTTTCGGAGTTTTTTTGCTTCTTAGGATTTTTTTTCTTCAGGAAAGTTGATAAGTAGGATAGAGAAAATCGATGTTCTTACCCAGATTCAAATGCACAGTTTACAATCAGCTTAAAATAGTGCTTTTGATTTCAGTTGCTTGCAGCTTGGGCTAGACTCTGAACTTAGACTAGCACTAGCCTTTCTCCTGTTGGTTTCTGTAAGGCTTCTCCTGGACTGATCGGGTTGACTGCCATCTCTCCGTGGTCCCTGAGACTTCCTTCCTTCTTTGCTGCCTCTTTGGGGCAGCTTCTGGCTCATTTAGGGTCCCCTAACAGGAAGAAACTCAGCTGAAGGACATGGAATCCTGAACCCCTTGACTGCTGTGTTGCTGCGCAGGACCGGAAGTCAGGATTTTTTTTTCACCATGTATATGTATACATTCGAACTAGAAAGTGATGTTTTTCTGTGTCATATATGTGTTTGTAAGTGGCTATATGCATAATAGGTTTTTTTTGAGAGCTGAATGCAATGAAATTTCATTTTAACATATGCTGATTTACATTTAAAGTGACAATAAAGTTTTTATTCTATTTTTCTATTCTATTCTTAGAAGGACAGAAGGCTGAGTCAACCTAAACTCCCATTAGGATTGAACTCCCAGCTAATATTTGAAATTTTGGTTGTAAGTTGTTTCCAAATTCTCATTACAGTATCTATATCAAATTTACTCAGAATATTAAATTGATTCCCAATCACCAAATATGATTTAAAACCTAATGAAGATCAGCAGAAGATCAGTTGGATTAGTTTACTGTGTTATTCCTATTAATAACATGGAATAGTTCAAACCTCCAACACTCCATATTTATCTTAACCATATTTTCTTGAAGAATAAGAAATGTAATAATGAATACTGTAGAAAAGTAAACTACTTAGATCATGTTCAAGTCAGTTTTGCTCCTTCTCCCTTTTTTAATCAGAGACTTTTAATAGAAGATGAATTTTTCGCATAAAGAATGGATTATTTGTGTTTATTTGATGCTTTAAAAAGTGGGACATACCTTGATTCATAAACCTATTTCTTTATAACAGATAATATATAGACATATACATTGTACAATTTTATTTTTTTAAGGATTGCCTTCACTTTACTATATAAGCTACTTTGAATTACTTTGATGACTGAAGAAGCATTTAAATGAATAAACATTTTAAAGTACAAAAAATGGAAACCTCATTAAAGAGGGATGGTAAACAGCTCATGTGTATTAAGTTTCTCATTTAAGATTTATTAGAAACTCCACATCAATATTCATGTGCATTTTAAACATTGCAGATATGGATTTTTTAAAATAGAATTTACAATATTTTTTTCCTAAAACAAACAGGATTATTTACTTTCGAATACATTTATTCAATACTTATTCCTAATACATATATTATTTACAAATTTTCTTACTGTATCCATATTGGAAATATATAAAGTTCCATTTCATCCAATATTTCATACTAATTGATTCTAATTTAATATATGTTAGCTGTCTTTCACTGAACTTCTGTTGTGAGAATTATCTTTGACACTTTGGCATCAGGCAAAAGAAACAGACCTTAATCTATGTATTATAACAGATCATCATTATCGTCTAGTAGTGGTTAAGTCAAAGGGCTTGAAAAAAATGACCATTGGTCCAATCAGACTTAGTTGGGTATCCTTGCAGCAAATTTCTCTCAGCTATATCATGAAATGTTGGCAAGAAAATTAAACATGTATATCCTTATAGCCATCAAGAGTCAGAGGTAGCTCAGTGCATCACAACTTCAATCTTAACAAAGATGACAAATGTCATAAAATAACAATAACAATAATACCTTTGCTCTTTATGTAATGTATTGAAAAGTGGGAAATTGTTGTGAAAATATTTATCTTATTTCAGCTGTCTTACTTTTCCTTTTTGAAAATAAGAAGATGCACAGCTCATTCTCCTTAAAAAAATAATAAATTCTGACCAAAAATTCTCAAAAGAGCAACTTTGATGTCTTTATTTCTCAGGCTGTAGATTAATGGATTCAACATAGATGGAATAATGGAATACATTAATGTTATTATAAAGTTTGGATGTGATACACTGTCAGTTGTAGGTTTGAGGTAAGCAAGGCAAGTAGTAAACAAAAATATGAAGAAAACAACCAGATGTGGTAAGCAAGTAGAAAAGGCTTTTTTCCTTCCTTGAACAGAAGGAATTCTCAGAACTGCCGAGAAGACATGCACATAACTCACAATGACAAAAACAAAACAACCAGTGGCTAACATAGCACTGAAAATTTGAAATCCAATTTCAGATAAATATAAATCAGAACAGGCAATCTTAAGTAAATATGGAACTTCACAGAAAAACTGGTTTATACTATTAGAGCAGAAAGGAATCATAAAAGTGACGGTGGTGTGTAATGAAGCATTGAGAAGGCTGGCAGTCAATACACCAGCAATCATCTTGGTACAAGCCTTCCTGTTCATTATCATTTCGTAATGTAAAGGGTTACAAATGGCAATGTATCGATCATAGGCCATGACAGTAAGGAGAGAAATATCACAGCTCAGGAAAAACAACAAAAACATGACTTGGGCAACACATCCAGAATGAGAAATACTTCTTATATTTGTAAGAAAATTAAAAAGAGTTTTAGGAATAATGACTGACACTGAACCAATGTCTTGCATGGCTAAATTCATTAGGAAGAAGTACATGGGGATGTGAAGATGGTGGTCAAAAACAACAGCAGAGATGATGAGAAGATTCCATGTCACTGTCATTAAATAGAATATTAATAGCAAAGCCACATGCATAATCTGTAGCTCCCAAATCTCTGAGAATTCCCAGAGAAGAAACTCAGAAGTATCATTAACCATTCTTAAACAATACACCCTAGAAGAAAAGGGGGAAAAAAGAATTGTTAAAATATTCCTATTCAGTATAGTTGGAGTGAGTTGTAGAATGATGGATGGATCAACTTTTAGTGAAGATCATATTAAAACCTGATTCTAAAAATGTATTAAAACATCCTGAATATAATGAATTTTTTTTCTTAAAATTAGGATGATTACTCTTAAAGATATTTAACCACTGTCAATTCTTAGGACTTGGGTTTAGAGATATTTGAATGTATTTGTTCGTTTACACTAACTTTATCAGAAATAGGAGCCTAAAACAAGAATAGTACTTTTCTCAAGTCAGATAAAAGCTGCTGGAATTTGAAGTATTTTCAAGCATGTCAATGTGATAATTGAGTTTGCTCTTTTTCTTTCTCTAAGTTTCTTCAACTTTAACTGGCACAGTTAAGGCAGGTACAATACACTACCATTATGAGTTGAAATGAATTTAATGTACTATAACACACAACTTTAGATAGAACAGGTTTAGAGATTTCACAGGATTAGCTCTAGAATTCTGTATCTGAATTTTGTAAATTTATCCTGACTCAGAATTACCATCTCTATTAAACCTCTTTCTTTTATTCTAAATATTTTATTTGTGTTGGGTTAAGATTAGCTATATTTATTTATTTATTTAGGCACCTGTGAACAGAGAGAAAGTTTTTGTTACTTTTTAAGCATCATTTTAAGTTTTAAGGTTTCTTTTTTTAGATATAAATGACCTTATATGAATTGATAGATTTGAACTATGGCATTGGTTATATTTTTTTAAACCTTTGAACGACCTTTTCATCTTTACCAGCTCTACATAAAAGGAAGATTGTGAAAATGGTTTCTGATGAGAACCTCCAACTCTATTTAATAACTTAATTTGAATTAAGAACTGTATATGGTCATCTTGTTTATAAAGTGAATGAAAATGTTTTTGAAGAGTCTATTTAAACATTGACACAGCTCTAGGTTTTAAGGATACATATAAAATGAAAAAGAAAACATATTAGATTAAAGGAAAATAATTGAAATTAAATTACATGAAACCATGGTAATTCTTACTCCTACTAACAAAATCTCAGCCATTAGCCTGAAAAAATGAAGAATGTCTGTATAATACCTAAAGCAGCAGGTGGAGGGAAAACTGATGGAAAAGGTACTGTTTGTTCTATTTGATTAATTTAGGATGTTTTAAGTTCTAGTGTTGTTTATTTCCATCTCTCACTTTAAATAAAAGTTCCTGAAGAATGATTTCTCCATAAATAGCTAACTCTTAAATTGTAATCTGTACTTTGTTGGAATTTTAATTTCAAAGGAAAGGGAAGACTTATGAATATTTAAAGGAAGAAAGTGATAAGTAGTATATAATTCAAAATAAATAGAAATCAATGACTTACCATCTCTATCTATGTTTATTCATGAAGATTTCTTTATTGTTTTCTTGTTCTCTTTCCAAAGCCACTAGTAAAATTTTTGTTGCGCTATATTTTCATGAGATTTTATCTATTTTTTCCTTTCCATTTCTCCAAGGATTTTTTTTTAAAAAAAAAACAGTTCAGTTCAGTATAAATAATCTACTGGGATGGATTCTTTAAAAAAAAACTAAACAAAGGCAACAAACCTTCTTAAGAAATTACCCAAGTGTCTTTATTATTATAATGGAAGAGAGGGGCGGGAGACGGGGAGAAGACTAAACTGCATGTTCAGTCATGAAAAAGCTATGAGCACTAAATCTGATTTTATCACTTTTTAAGCAGTGAAAATCTAAACTCTCTCAATTTCATAATCTTTTAATTTTAGATTAAGGATTGCAACAGCACTTAAACTTAGAATTTACCACTCTCTGAGTGGTTTCCAGAGTCAGCATATTTTCCTCAAGAATCTGGGTTCTCATTTTACTGACCTTGAAAGGAAGGAGGACTGTCAGTTCCTTCTATCATTTATTTTGGTTTTATGGGGTGGGAGATTCAATTATTATTACTTAATACTCAGGATAATTTTGTTGCTATTCATGCGGCATATTGTACAGCTATCCTTAGAAAATGAGATATTTTGAATTCTTAAAGGACAGTAATATGCAGAATTGTTCTGAGTTCTTTGTGATATAAGTAATCCCTAAAAATCCCTTGTCAGCTCATTTTCTGCATATTAGCTTAAAAATCCAAGATTGACAAACATTTTGCTGAATAGGAGTTGTTTCCAGCTGTATTTTAGAGAGATTCCTATCTCAGTGGGAAGAATGATCATGAAAGTGCTTCTAGGTGATGTAACGTCTCTCTTTCTCTCTCACACGTATACATTTCAATCAGAATAGAACTAGAAGGGATTTTTGCAGGTGCTCAGGCAGGAGACCCTATATCATTTCAGACAAGTAACTATCCAGTCTCTTCTTAAAAACTTCCACTGTTGAAGCACCTACAATTTCTAAAGGCAAGCTGTTCCAGTGGTTAATTGTCCTCACTGTTAAGAAGTTTCTCTTTAATTCCAAGTTACTTCTCTCCTTGATTATTTTCTTTCCATTGTTTCTTGTCCTGCCTTCTGGTGCTTTGGAAAATAAGTCAAATTCCTCCCTTTTGTGACAGCCTCTTAAATACTGGAATACTAGGAACCCCTAGTCCTTTTCTCTAGACTGGGCAAACCAGTGATGGGATTCAAATATGTGAACAACCGGTTTTTTGTGTGGATGCCGCTTCCAGAACTCCATTCTGGGCCTGGGCAACAAAAAAATAGCTACCAGTTCTGCCAAAGTGGTGCGAAACTGCTGAATCCCACCATTGGGCCAAACCCAAATCCTGCAACCTTTCTTCATATGTTTTAGTCTCCAGGCCTTTAATCATCTTAGTTGCTCTTCTTTGCACTTTTTCCAAAGTCTCAATATCTTTTTTGTAATGTGGTGAGTAAAACTGAATACAATATTCCAAGTGTGGCCTTACTAAGGCTTTATAAAGTGGTATTAATACATCACATGATTTTTATTTTATGCCTCTGTTTAAATAGATTTGGCTGCTACCATACACTTATATGTAAGTTATCATCCATTAGGACTCCAAGGTCCCTCTCACAATTACTATTTTTGAATCAGGTTTGACCTAATCATTGGTTTTACCTTTGGTTTTTCCTAAGGTTTTCTTGCTTTTCTCCACTTTAAATTTTATTTTGTTCAAGTCTGTCAAGATCTTTTTGAATCCTGAGCTTGTCTTCTGGGCTGTTGGCTATTCCTGCCAGCTTAGTATCATTTGATGAATTTCCCTTCTACTTCCTCACTTAAATTATTTATGAAGATATTGAAGAGTATTGGGCCTAAGATAGAACCCTATGGTATTCCACTACTTACTTACATCCATGTAGATGTTGTACCATTAAGGACTACTCATTGAGCACCATTTGTCAGCCAGTTACAAATTCATCTGGTGCTGATGCTGTCCATTTTTCTAGTTTATCAAAAAGTAGATTGTGGTGCCTTGTTGAAGTATAAGTATATTATGCCTTGTTGAAGTATAAGTATATTATGTCCACAGCATTTCACTGGTCTACTAATTTAATCACTTTGTCAAAAAAATGAAATAAGATTGGTTTGGCATCATCTTTTTTTAACAAACCTGTGCTGGCTACTAGTTATAACTTTATTTGCTTCTAGATGTTCAGAGATCTGTTTTTTAATTATCATTTCCAGGATCTTCCTAGGTATTGATGTTAGGCTGATTGGTCTGTAATTTTCTGGGTCTGATCCCTCCCCGTTTTGAAGATAGGAACCACATCAGCTGTTTTTCAATCCTCAGTAATTCCCCTTTGTTCTAGGATTTTTAAAGTTGTTGTACAATGGTTCTGAGATAACACCTGCCAGCTCCTTCAGAACTCTGGGATGCAGGCTTTTTTTTTTTTCATAGAATGCCCAGAATGGAGTTCCGGCACCTTTTTTTGGATGGAAACCTGTACGGTAGGCAAGGCGGGTTATAGGACATGTGTGAGTTCCAGCACCTTTTTTTTTTTTTTTTTTTTTAGAAAAAAAGCATTGCTGGGATGTAATCCATCAGGTCCAGGTGATTTATATTCATCAAGATCAGATAGATGTTCTCTAACCATTTTCTTGCTTTTTTAATTTTTTATTTCTAGTCTGTCTTTTACAGTTAAGTTTTTCGTAGGTTGGGCTATAATTTCTTTTTGCATGAAGACTGATGCAAAGAATTAGTTAAGCAGTTCTGCTTTCTTTCTGCTGCCTGTTACTTCCTTGACACCATCTCCCTTTAATGGATCTACTGTTTCCTTGACTTTTTTCTTGTTATTGATATGTTGAAAGAAACTTTTTTTAAAAATTATCTTTGGCTTTTGTTGCAAGTCTTTGCTCATTCAAAGCCTTTTCTTTCCAGACTTCATCTTTGCAGATTGGGCTATCTGCTGATATTTTTCCTTAATTATGTATCCCTCTTTTCACTTTTTGTATTTGTCCTTTTTGTCTTTCAATTTATCATAGAGATCTTTGTGCAACCATTCTGATTTCTTTTTTTTTTTAGGTTGTCTCTGAGCTTGTTAAAATCCACTCTTTTAAAGTTTAAGACACTGGTTGGATTATGTTCTATTGCTTGTGTTTGCATTATATGGAATCCCAAAATGATGTAGTCACTCTTACCCAAAGTTCTGGCAACTCCCTTTATCACTTCTTCTCTGTACGTAAGAATTAGGTCTGGTATAGCTTTTACTCTAGTTCCCTCCTCTACCTTTTGTCAGCTAGGTTGGTTAGGAATCTGTTTGATCTCCCACTTGCTACAGAGTTTGTCTCCCGCTTAATATCAGGGTAGTTAAAGTCTCCCATTACTACTGTGGTGTGTTTCCTACATGCATTTGTTAATTGATGAGCAAAGAATTCATCTTTCTTCTTCTTGATTGGGTGGCCTCTAGTATACACATATAGGAATGTCATATTTTTTTCCACTTTTATATTGACCCTTGTGGATTCTAGAAGATTTTCATTCTTAGTTTTGTGGACTTCTGTTGAGATGTAGTGATCTTTTATGTATAAAGCAACTCCACCTCCTCTTTTGTTAGGTCTGTTTCTTTTGAATAGTTAGTATCCTTCCATCAGTACATTCCAGTCATGTTTAATCCCACCAAGTTTCAGTAAAAGCAACTATATCATATCTGCCTTCATGTACTAGCACTTCAAGTTAACCCTGTTTGTTCCCTAAACTTTGAGCATTCAAGTAGAGTCATTTGAGTCCTTTATAGGTCCTAAGTATTTTCTTACATCTCCTACTTTGTTACTCAGTTTTCCATCCTTCCCATCACTCTCTACTTTATTGTATTTTATTTTTTTAATTTCTTCTTTGTCTTTATTCCTTATGTAATTGGTTATCTAGTAGTTTTTGCTTGGAATTAGGTTGTAATAGTTGTGAAAATTGGACACATTACCCCCTCAATTTTAGCTTAAAGCTTTCTTGTAAGATCAGCCAGTCAGTTTTTGAATATATTCTTTCCATCCCTTGCCAGTAGTCCTTCATGTTGGTAATACACACCATAGTCTAGGAAACCAAAGTTCTCTTGATGACACCAGTTTTTAAGCCAGTGATGTTTCCAAAATTCTTTGCTTCCTCATTGGATGTTGGCCTTTTGTTGGAAGTATAGATGAAAACACCACTTGTGCTCCTAATTCTTTAACTTTCTTCCGTAGCTGTTTGTAATCTCTTGTTATTGTGTCATGTCACTGGTCCTCACATGTAAGAGGGGAAAGGGGTTAATCTATGAGGTTCATTATTTTAGTAAGGTTCTCAGTTACATCTTTGCTGCTCTGTTACAACATACTGACTAGATTGATTGTTTCCCTTTAATGAAACATTTTGTTTCCTTGACTGTTTTCAAAATTGATGTTTGTTGAAAGAACTGAAAAATTATCAACTTTCAAAATGCAACTTTGCTCATTCCCAGCCAGATTTCCATTTGTAGTCAACTATGCAGAATTCTTTGCTATCTGCTGATGTTTTTCCTTAATAGGAATCCCTTTTACTGCTTGGTTTTTCCTTTTTGTCTTTCAATTTATCATAGGGAATATGCAACCATTCTGATTTCTTTTTTTTTTTAGGTTGTCTCTGAGCTTGTTAAAATCCACTCTTTTAAAGTTTAAGACACTGGTTGGATTATGTTCTATTGCTTGTGTTTGCATTATATGGAATCCCAAAATGATGTAGTCACTCTTACCCAAAGTTCTGGCAACTCCCTTTATCACTTCTTCTCTGTACGTAAGAATTAGGTCTGGTATAGCTTTTACTCTAGTTCCCTCCTCTACCTTTTGTCAGCTAGGTTGGTTAGGAATCTGTTTGATCTCCCACTTGCTACAGAGTTTGTCTCCCGCTTAATATCAGGGTAGTTAAAGTCTCCCATTACTACTGTGGTGTGTTTCCTACATGCATTTGTTAATTGATGAGCAAAGAATTCATCTTTCTTCTTCTTGATTGGGTGGCCTCTAGTATACACATATAGGAATGTCATATTTTTTTCCACTTTTATATTGACCCTTGTGG